CACAGCTTGACCCCGCCCACACCGCTCAGCCCCACCCACACAGCTTGACCCCGCCCACACCGCTCAGCCCCACCCACACAGCTTGACAGCTCAGTACTACTGCAAAATCACTGCTGTCACCAAGGTCCAACACTGGCTCCCTTTTATAGCCATTTTACTGACACATAGGGTCCAGGCTGGTCCCATTTCACAGATGTTGGAGCAGAGAGGGTCCAGTATCTTCTCATTTCAGAGCCATTGAGGACACTAATGAGTCTCTTTAGGACCTTTTGTGACTACCTATTATATCTGCTTTATTAGTCACCACAAAGGAGACCAGCCTGAGGACCTGGGCATCACTAGATATGCTGCATAGTGACAGCAGTGTGCTTTTTAGCCAGGACTCTGCGACCTGCCATTTTATAAACACATCTGTGTAACTTAGGCTCCGGAACCCCTGCAGTGTTCTCAGTCAAAACAATTTTTCAGATGTCCTTACTTCTTCGTGACTAGATGAAAAGGAGGTGATTCCACAAGGTGGCAGAGTAATCAATTTAAATCTTCAGTGCACTGACAGGCCCGTTAAACAACACCGCGAATGGTTATTAAAACGAAACATTTAAATTTCTCCTCTACCAAGGTGCTTCTCCACAGCTGTCGCTCGATAATCGGCAGTTGCCGAATGATGGAGAATTTTTAAAGTGAGGTGCGGATGAAGGGTATCTCCCCCCCCCACGAAAAATAATTTTAATAACCCTGGGAAATGACCAGGGGACCCATTAACTGGGGGCTTCACATGTCATAGCAGAAGTGGGTTCAGAAAGTTGGATAGCTGAAGCACAGACACGCGGACTTCGTAACCATGATTCCGAATGTTTTAGCCACTTTACTTACCTGACAGTTTTATCTAAGACAGATTAAAATCACGGCAGAATGGCACTTTGATAGCTACACATACATATACAAACCCCCCCCCCCCAATCCTCCTGCCAGTACTTGCTCCTCTTTAGACCGGTGTATGGGAAGGATGACTTACCCTCCACCAGCAGAAAGCGCAAGGAGCCCGAAGAGTCAGAGGTGCGACGGGCTGACAGTCGGTAAACCGTGGCGCCTGGGGCTGTGTTGGGCCCAATGGCGGCCAGGTAGGGGAACGGGAACATGGCCCACTGCAGGTCTGACATGCCAGGTGCACGCAGGCTCAGCCGGCACAGGTACCACTCGTCTCCTGTGTGGGGGGAGAGAAGCAAGGATGGCTGTGAGGGGGGGCCTATGCAAAGACGCTCAACGGGAGCTGGATCGGACGGGCGCTGCTGCCTTTATATGCCAGCAGTGTCCAGGAACGCAGAACGAATCCCGTCTGCTCCCTGGAAACCGATCGCTTATGTGTACAGCAGACTTACAAAGCCCCAGCAATTTTACACATTTCCCCCATTTACTCACAGTGCTGCATAATGATCTGGGGAACAAATGGTGTTCTGTTTCTGAGACTAAACCTTCCGATCAACCTTTTGCTCACCTGTCGATACATGGTTTCCCCTGTAAGTTAGTCAGCACCACCCTAACCTGCCTGCCTCGTCGTGAGTCAGTGCCCCTCACTAACCTGCCTGCCTCGCTGTGAGTCAGTGCCCGTCACTAACCTGCCTGCCTCGTTGTGAGTCAGTGCCCTTCACTAACCTGCCTCGTTGTGAGTCAGTGCCCCTTACCAACCTGCCTTGTTGTGAGTCAGTGCCCGTCACTAACCTGCCTGCCTCGTCGTGAGTCAGTGCCCCTCACTAACCTGCCTGCCTCGTTGTGAGTCAGTGCCCCTCACTAACCTGCTTGCCTCGTTGTGAGTCAGTGCCCCTCACTAACCTGCTTGCCTTGTTGTGAGTCAGTACCCTTCTCTGACCTGCCTCATTGTGAGTCAGTGTCCCTCACTAACCTGCCCGCCTCCTTGTGAGTCAGTGCCCCTCACTAACCTGCTTGCCTCGTTGTGAATCAGTGCCCCTCACTAACTTGCTTGCCTCGTTGTGAGTCAGTGCCCGTCACTAACCTGCCTGCCTCGTTGTGAGTCAGTGCCCCTCACTAACCTGCTTGCCTCGTTGTGAGTCAGTGCCCCTCGCTAACCTGCTTGCCTCGTTGTGAGTCAGTGCCCCTCNCTAACCTGCTTGCCTCGTTGTGAGTCAGTGCCCCTCGCTAACCTGCTTGCCTCGTTGTGAGTCAGTGCCCCTCATTAGCCCGCCTGCCTCATTACAGCCCTGCTGCAGTCGTCTCAGCCTCTCACACCCAGAGGTACTCTCCAGTCTCCGCGGGTATTGCTGCTCCCCCTCCATTGCCCAGCACTGCTGCTGCTCTCTGTGCCGGGTACCAGCCACTCTTCAGCACACTGCATTTTTATCATTTAGCCCAAGGATTCTTTCATATAGGAAAATGACACTCCTGTAAAATTCGTCACGTCCTTCCATCTGCCTTTTCGCCTCGCCTGTGCACCCCGCCCCCCCCCTTTCACAAGAGTCTGTGAGAAGCTGCTAGCTTTCAGTGTAACAGAAAGGGAGATTCAGCTGATATCGAACAGGCTGCGATTCCTCTCATCAAGTCTATATATTGACCTGGATTGTATTTGCCTCGCACCCATAAATAAAGAATGTTGTCTGTGCACAGAATCATCACCGACAGTTTCCCTTTACAGGGGAGACAAGGAGAGAGAAAGAAGGAGAAATGAAGAGAGGGAAGTCTGAAGGAGGCGTGGGGTAGATAAGCAACAGCCCTCCACCCCCAGTTTGAGGGGCTTTGCTGTTTCAGTCCATCCAGCTCGATCGGGATGCAGCAGACCTAAGCGACCCCACCCCAAGAGCAGGCCTGGCCAGAGGGGGGGCACCCATGCGCATCTGCTTCAGCAGCAGGGAAAAGCACCTGCACTTGTAACCACAAGACTCTGGGCTGCAATCCATGACTTGAATACCAGTTTGGAAAAAAAAACATCTCCTGGAAAATGGAAATGAGCTAAAGAAATATGCAACATCACTAACATCAGGGCCACTGTGCTTAAAGCCCAAATGGTCTATTTGTATGTATGTATGTATGTGTGTATGTATGTATGTGTGTATGTATGTATGTGTGTATGTATGTATGTGTGTATGTGTGTATGTATGTATGTATGTATGTATGTATACACTTATAATTCTATATGGACATATGCTTTGGGACAACTGGCCATCACACCTACAGGAGCTTTCATGACACCCCATTCTAAATCCATAGGCATCATAGGTTTTTATGGACCTTGCTTTGTGCGCTGGGGTACAGTCATGCTGGAACAGCAATGGCCGCCTTACCCAAAATGTTCCCATAAAGTTGGAAGCATAGAATTATGAAGAATTGAAGAATGTCTTGAATGGGGCGTCATAAAAGTTGCAATGGGTGTAATGGCCAAGTGTCCCAGTACGTTTTTCCACACAGTGTTTGTATGTCGGACTCTGAAGCAAACCCACGTAGACACATGTAGAACGCCACAAAGTCAAGGGCAGAAGTCGAACCCTGATCTAGAGGTCACAGTACTAACCACCAAGGCACCAAGACTCCCGGTTCGGTACATAAAGGGGTAAATAAGTCGCATTATAATGCCCAGGGTGGCTCAGTGGATGGCAGTACAGCCTCATGCCTTCAGGTCTGGGCCTGAAATCCTCTCTCTGCTGAGTGTGTGGAGGTGGCATTCTCCCCCTCTGTCACGGAGGTATCCTCCCGCAGTCCACAGACACGCCGTTAACCTAAACTGCCTGTGGTGTGTGTGCCCTGTGAGGGGCTGGCACCCCTGCCTGCGATCTATGCAGTCTGGGATGGGCTCCAGGCTCCCCAGTGGCCCCAGCCAGGGAAAGTGCTTGGAAGATGGATGTAATGTCCAGTACCCCGGTAGGTCTAGATAGAAGCACCTGCTGAAACCTGAGCCTGTCCACCATTTGTTCTTTGCTTGGATATTTATTTGAAATACAGCAATTTTACTCTAAATGCCCACTTTTGTCGTAAGAAATTATTTTTATTACTCTTATATAAACCAATATCAAACTAATGTCTCTGGTGGCATCGGCTCTGTTTAACCAGTTCTTTCATACAATGATGTAATACTTGGATAACTCCTCCCTCCAGGTATTGCCTGTGTTTCAGACTAGAAGGATTTTGGGCTGGGGGGTTCTGGGGCTGAAAGTGCAGCTGAGCTACTTAATACTGCCCTAGGACTGTGCAGTCTACACTCCTCATACCGTTACAGCCCCCCCCCCCCCCACCCCGGATCCCACCTTCAACCCATCACAACCTGACCTCAGCGGCCGGCCCGCCTGACACAGAACCACCAGAACACACCCCCTGACCAGCAACCGTCTCTGACCCTTCTAGAACGAAAAAAAAAAAACCCTGCTCACTTCTGATCTTTCTGCGTCCCTGATCTGAACAATCGCTATTTGTGGGGGGAGATAAAGACAACAGCGGTGAGACAAGTCTCATGGCGTATCTGTGCTTGTTTATGCCTCTCTAATCCCCTTAAGCTCGGACGGCAATGAAGCGAGATGCCGGACAGAATACGCACTGTGAACAAATAGCTGGTGGATTTAATCTGAGACTGTCCAAAGCTCTGTTCTAATTTGAATATCAATGCAGAAGATGTCACGGGCTGTTAGGCTAAAAAAGAAAAAAAAAGATAAAAAATGCGCTTGCTGAACAGCTCTTTTTTCTGTCCCCACCCCTTATTTGAAATTCAGTGACTTTGAACAATTGCACAGAAAAGTGCTCAATGTATAAACAGGGAAAAAAATACATTAAATTCGAATGATCTTCAAATGCATCTCAGAGACTTAGATCAGACAGATGAAGGGACCAAAAACACCACCCCCCCCCCGGCACCGCACCACCAGCACCACCTCCCAACATTTGACTAACGAAGTGTTTCATTTGCAGCGATTGTGACCTTCGATCTGGGGGCCTGCATTCACCAGAAAAGGGACACGAGCGCCACAACAGGAAAATCCATGCAGGTGGTGCTGTGGATCCACGCCGGTATAGATCTCTGTCTTGTTGAATTACCTCTTGACAGATACGGTGCGTGTGTGTGCAGACAAGGGGCAGCCTAACAGCCCACGTCAGCCCACGGCCTGTCAGACCCTCCGACGAGCCTGGAGTTAATGCAGCTCTCACATGGGCGGCGACCCTGAGCGACACGCCCCCCCCCCCCGAGATGATAGGCCACCTTGGGAGAAATGCTGAAGGTGGCTCGCAGACTTGCCGTCTTCTTTAGGTGAAATTTTGACTCAGAGCTCGCTTACGTAATGCATGGCTTCGGTCGACGGTTTTTAAAAAAGCAAATCGGCGACTTGAAACGTGCCCCTATACCATCAGCGGAAAAGTGCCCTAAAAGAATGGTCCCCTTGAGGAGGGGGGAGGACGCACGCTCAGCCAGTTTGTCATTTAAGGGGGGAGGTCGCTGAGATCATGCTGGGGAGTGTAGGGATCTAACAGCGGGCATCTCTGCTGCTTTGTCCCTCTCTCCCCCCCCCCCCCTCACCGGTTACATCTCCGTGACAACCACCCAGTACAAAGCCGTTCCAGGTAATTGGCTGCTCCTGTTCACCTCCCATAAGTTGATGTCGTGCTTCTTGTCGCAGGATAAGAAGAGGCTTCCTTCTTACGCTCAATTAGCTACTCAGTGATGTACATCTCATTGTTGCGCTGATGACATGCATTTTTGGGGAGGTATAATTAAGTTTTCAAAAGTAGGGCTTTTGTCTTTTTTATTTCTTTATTTCCTGCTCTCTGAGATGTTGCTTCTGGTACGGGCGCGTCGTATTTTTATCGGATGGGCCGGCACTAATGAGAGCGACTGGTCGTAGCTGGTGAACGTCAACATTCAGAACCCCCGTTGGGCTTCGGGAGAACATGCAGAGAGCACGAGTCAGGCCAGAGTCAGTTCGGCTTCGTTATCAATGCAATCTCAACCTTAGACCAGCATTTATGTGACAACGATACCTGGACGTGATCTTTGTCACTTAACCTCCAGGCTGGTAAAAATGAGTCAATTATTCAGCTAAAAGCTTAAATGACGGGGGTCTAGCGATGAGACACTATGTGTCAGTATGACGATGGAGAGAGGCAAATATATTGACAAATAAATAAGTAAATGGATAAATAGACAAACAAACAAATAAATAAATAAAACAGATGGGGGGGTGGGGGTCTGACCCAAGGACAGCAGAGCCCCTG